GGTGAACTTGAAAAAAAAAATGCAATTTCCCCTGGAATTGACCCCATGTTTTCTGCCATTTTCTTTACTTTCCTTTGTCTCAAATTTCTCCTATAAAGGCTCAAGTGTCTGAACATAGCTGATTGACAAATTACGATGGTTAACCCCAATTGATACAAACATGCCAACAGTTATGAAAGCTTGTTACATTCAGCTAAACTTCCTAAACTACACTTTCCATTAATAAGCTCTTATCAAACTAACTAAATGTAAAAAAAAAAATTGACAGCGATTGTGCAAGAATGGTAAAAACCTGATTTCTTGAAAACCAATCCCGATAACTAGAACTCCCACTGACTGGATCCATTCTTCATTTCCCTTCAAAATCTAAGTTAACATGGCTTTACTGCATGTTACAAGTTACCTTTTTTTCCTATAGCACATTTTATGATTTGTAATTATGGGTTACATTGTTATCTTTCCTTATATATTATTTTTACAGGTTTGTTAGTCAAGAAGCAGGAAAATCAACCTACCATAAATTGTATTCCATTTATCTTTTTGAAAGAGAAAGGTTGAACACAGTCATGAAGATTCTCCTGTAAGGGTAGTAAGTAAAAGCTATAAGTATACCAGTTGTAATGTTTACTAAGTATGATTCATTCCATAATCCAAGAAACATAATTATTATTTTTCTGGTCCATAAAATAACAAGGTGAGTAAACCATTGTCAGCATGTCCCAAGAAATATCCCTTCACAAACTGCTCTAACAGATGTGGTAGGGTAATTTGGGAATTGTCAAGTTTGATAGAAGTAAAAAGTCATCGAAATATTACAGTCCAGTGCATTTACAACTGCAGTTACATGTATTGTCAAATAGCCTGCAAGGAATTATGTTCTAACAAAAAGAAACCTGATAGCAATTATTTACAACAAGGTTGTCACAGTAAGTTGATAATTCATTAAAATTTTTAAGAGCGCTTTTAATCTCAAAGGTGGAAAAGAATTAACTTAATCTCCTCTGACAAAATTTTCCAATTATGGTGACAAGAATAATTAGAATAATAATCATTATACATGACTTGTACAATATCATTATTGTGAAACAGCTCTATCTTAAGGATTCCAACCGTCTCACACATTCACAGTTTCTCTACATATAAAATGCATTATTCCACCATATGATCACAATCACTTGTAAGTCATCTTTGGTCAAATGAATTCCATGCTTACATCACACAAAGAATGCTACAACAGAATCTTTAATGTCAACAAAACATGTTGATGACCATTGAAAATATTATTTTTACAATCATTTAAGTCATTAAAAGCATATAAGACAAAGGTTTCAAGAAAGGCCAGTAGTAACGTAATTAAATAAATATAAAATAATTTTACAAGAAAGTAATTTTCAGTATTAATAATATCATGCCGCTTCTTAAATTCTTTAAATTAAGTATTGATTTTGCTGTGTAGTACGAAAAACTTCTGAAATTCCCACAACAGTATTTTTGGAAAATTTTGGTAAATTAAACAGCGATATTCAGTGGTTATTCTAAAACTCTCAAATGTGCTGAAGCTGGTTTTTTTTATGCATGTAAGTGAAAGATGAAATGGGTTTTGTACATAAATTTGTGTTGCAAATCAAGCACAGTCTTGATTTCCACATTAGTCATTTAAAATTAAATACTCTTAGAGCCGTAACAAATATTTCAAAACGTAACATATCCTTTCGTTAATGTAGGCATTTAAAAACAAGTCGCACCAGTTGTCTACAAAAAATTCAAATCAAAGGTTCGGCTAAATTCCTTTTTTTTTTCCTTCAGAACTAATGCTATTAAAAATATTACTAGTAAATGCCTGAAGGGCTGATAATGAGATCGGTCATCAAATAGTAAAGTTGCTACGAAAACACAGCTGTATTGCATGGCCTATTAATGTTAAAATTGAGTATTCTAACAAAAACCTTGCGTGAGCTCCATCTGTGAGCAGACAAGAATCCTCAACCATATAAAAATATCTCTGTTGTCATCCCTTCCCGTGCCATAGTCTAAATTCAGAGTAGGTAGGCTGTCCGTAACATTCGTAATGCAGTTACGTGCTAGTATTGATCCGAGACTTCAGCTACGCGAAAAGCATTTGTGCCCTTTCGAAATGACCTGCGCTTTAATTCTATGTGTTCTGAATTACCCCTGAGGAAAAGTTAATTTAAAGTACGATGGATGTCTTATTACGTTCCGGATCTCATCTGATTTCGTAAGACACGACTCGATTTTCATTTGATTTCGTAAGATAGTTACGTACCAGGCAAGTTGAAAACCAAGTATGTGCTCTCGCACGGAACATTATTCACACAGATGTGGTTAAACGACAACTATCTTTGGAGGTCGTCAAAGCGGACCAGCAGACATTAGCGGACCATTATCCTTGGTATTCGTGCAATGAATCCGCAACACAAGCGAATGATTTCACCGTGGTTTACCCGACTGATGAGTGGCTAAACGCTTTCAGCGGACTTAACCTCCAATATAGCAGCCATTTTCGATGGAAGTAATTCATTCAAAGATCGATATTGGAGACCACAATAGCTAGAACAAGCTTGTAGGCCAACATCATGCTTATAACTAGTCGTTTATGATACCAAACCGTATGCACTTGAAATTATAGGCAGGCTAAATTAATACATACCTCTCTCAGCCAGATGAGCATTCGCTCCAAATCCCAGTCGTAGATGCAGGCTTCCGATAAGCTCGACATCTTTCTGTCGGCGTTTAACCATGCGAGGAGGTTATATTTCGTTTGCAACGAACTACAACAAGGCAAAGACACTTCTCACGGCTTCCGGGTGCCCACTTGATCACGTGTCGAGAATTAGATCGTGACGTATAAATTATTCTATTGTTCCAAAAATTCTTTAAATTTCCGTTTCCTCTTCAAAATTCATTTTCTCTGTACGTGTTTCAGCGAGTATTTCCTCATAAAATTTCAAGAGAAAGTTTTCCTTTGGTTTCTTAGAGATTTCGAAAAATATTCAAGGGATGTAATTTGTGTGATTTCCTACAGAATGGACTAAATTGGATTAGGCATTTGCCCATGCAATATACTTGACTACCAACAATTTCATTTAATTTACCTCCCTTATAGTTTTTTAAAGAACACTTTTTCAGAGTATAAACTGATTGCGTTTTAAGTTATCATCACCAGTTATCTTTTATAGCTATATTTTTAAAAATGACTCACCATTCTTAAATTGTCCTGATCCTGCTCGGTCGACGTACAAGTGGGAGATGAAGAGACGAAAGTTATATTCGAACACGTCTCAAGGTCTCGATTAATTCGTCCAAAAGAAATTGAAAACCCCTTCAATCCCGTCCCCTTTTTGCATCGACATCGCAAACGAAACACTCCACTCTAACTTAAGCGCAAAAAAGGACGATAAAAATATTGATCTCGCTGTCATTCTGGAATTGCTGTACGATAGACAGTGGCTAGGAAATGGCGTAGATAAATGTCTTTGAAAAAAAAAGACGCTTACCACCATTCATAATGATCGCCGCAGGGAAATGGCTCTTTAAGTGCACATTCATTTATTGCTGATTTTCATTGACGTTTCTTTTTAACGGTTATGAACAGGAAAAAACAAACATTCATAATTAAAAAAAAAAGTTTGACAACATTTGCAACTTTTAAAGGTCTTGTAGCGGTGTGTACAGGAGTGTACTTGGTCAAATTAATGAAGGTCGCCTAATTTCTGAGAGGAAACTATCCCATGGCAACTACTGATAGCAGAAAAATCAAACCAGAGAGTTTTGCGTGATTTCGATAAAACAATTTACATAACCAAATAATCAATATTGAAAACGATTACATTAGTGACCCACTCAACGGTCTATTTTAGAAGACCTGTTACGTTTTTTACTAATAATTATTTTGTTTAAGCGGAAAAGTTAATTCTCAGAATATTCTTTCAGTAGAGTGCTCTTAACTCATCAGGAGTTAAATTTTGCCCGAAAAAGGACATCTCTATTTTCAAAACATATTTAGAATAGCCAATTTAGTGACCTGGCGCCGTTTAACATCAGTTAACTGTGTGTCACCTAAACAGGTCGATTAACTCAATCATCCCGATGCATGCATATTTTCGAGGTTCGTCTAAGCTTAATCGTCACAGCACTACCACAAAGCGATTTGATCAATGATATTGTGGGGTTTTCTGATATTTTGCTGGATTTTTCGAGCTTCCTCAGACTTGTTTCACTGAAAATGGATAGAATTATACATGATCTCTTGACAGTCTTCTTAAAGTCCTTTACAACTTTATAAATTGTCCTAAATTTTACCACCTGCAAAATTAAATTCTTTCAAAGCCTGTATTCATAAAAAAAGAATACAGTTGACTGTATTACTAAATTACTTTGCTAAAGCGTATGAGAGTTTGAACGGAATACAACAGAATGCTGTCTGTGAATGAAGAAGACTATTTTCTTAGGCACCACAATCTTAGTGTTTTGACCCAGACTCCTACGATTGAGGTGATAGTTTCCATGGCAATACAGAATGTCGACACTTATTACCTGTAGCTAGGCTTTTAGGTTACTCACAATCTGAAGTAAAGATACTTTGCTCCTCTTTTGCGGGAACTGATTTGAACAAGGGGTTGATTTATTGAATTAGAAAAGGTAATCCCTAAGGTCAGCGGAATGAAACGAAACTTCTGGATTAATGATTAAAGGGGGTAAGTTTCTAAAGAAACTATACTGCTGCTGCGTCGGTGGGAGAGTAACAGGTAATTTAGTGTTAACAACTGAGTTTAAAACTTAAATTGCCCACCGTAAAGAGTTTAAATGATGAAGTTTCGAGCGTTAGTCCTTCGTCAATCGCTCTGACGAAGGGCTAACGCTCGAAATGTCGGCCTTTTCACTCCTTCCGGTGGCCAATAAACGTTTTCAACTCAGTTGTTGACACTAAATTACCTGTGAAACTTCTAGATTGTCCGGTAATATTCTTCATAACTGTAGTTATTTTGGAAGAAATAAATCGCCTATGCGCCTGTAGCCCATAAAAGGAAACGAAAAAACGCCCCTAGAAAATATATTGAAGCGAACCGGGCAGATACCGAAAATGAAAATTGCAACATCATAGTATGATGTAATGCAAGCTTGGGAGTCACTGAAGTCAAAACAAATTAATACAAAAGATTTTGTATTGTCACAAAGAAACAAGAAGCCAAAGCTGACAATATCTTCTACATTCTTTGAATAGTTCCTGAGAGTCAGCAGATTCACTGAATCGAATAGTAGAGACAATCTCTCTCTACATTCATCGGCGCGAAGTGGATCGACAGACCTGTTCTCGAAGGCAGCGATGAGATCTTCCGGTAAATGTTCGGCTGGTTCCCACGTATTTTCACTAGGGGAGTAATTCTGCTAATGGATGAAATATTCTATATTTCTTCCTTTAACTCGTTTTGCAACAACACGTTCTACTTCGGAAACGCCCATGACAGTTGGCTTTACCTTCGGACGATATTTTGAATTAGAGGCACGATCGCAAACATTATTCAGTAACGTTGCGTAAAAGCCTGGTTGATGTCTCGCACGCTTCGACATGTTAACTCGAAGGTATTAATTGTCAACTGTCCTTTTCATATGTTTTTATTTACCAAAACGGATCCAAGTGTGAATAATTAACCAACTATTCCCTCAGGCGCGAAGCTGTTTCAGGTGGTCGCTTATTTGTTTGTTTTTCTCTCTCGATGTTTTTGAAACCCTTAGTTCTTCTTTTCTTTTCAGGAAAAAGAAAGACTAACTCCTGGAGTAAAAGTGTGCGTTTCAAGTAAAAACAAATGACTTATGCATCGCACTGCTAAGTTCACGTAAAACAATTCACTTAGTCATGGGTAAATCGCTGATTGAGCACCGCTATTCTACTCCCTTGCCGCAGCCTTTCAAACTCGAAAAGAATGGCAGGTTCTAAACAACCGGGTCGACATGAAACAATTTCAATAATTCAGATGAAGTTTTGACCAACGGGAGTTTGTTAATCGTCTATTGAGTCAAATAAAAATATAGTCGAATCTGCAAACGCTTTGTGAACAGTGCGACCGGCCTTTAATTAGTGTGCTATTGTTAATTCTATCGCACCTTGGGACTGACATCACGCACCAAACCGTTTGATTGACAGCAGCTGAAATCTGCCGTGCGACTCAATAATTCCCAAAGCTAAATTTGTTGACCAATCACAGCTGATAAGTTCTAGACATGCAAATTGATATTCCGCTCGTTGATGAACTGGGCACTGTAAGTACATGTCGCAAAAGACAATAGCATTCTGCGCGATGGAAATTTTAGCGCTACAATTAAATGACGCATAATTTGGAAGTGTTCTTAACAAATTCAAGAGCAAGTGTTTGCAATGTAGTTAGATCAATCCGACCATCAACTTTGAAGTATGGTATGTGTGTTTAACTATGTTTTAGTATGATATGAGAGTAGAAGACTGCCTAAAGGCTCTTAGCCGTAATGTTGGTCAAATGCTTTGGAGAAGGAAGATAAGAACGACACGAGTTTTACCTGATCATTTGATCATCTCATTTGGCTGAAATGTGCAAGGAAGGGGATTGTTTGGGTCTTACAATTCAGTCTTCTTGCGGTTG